CCTACCTTATGCTACTGGATCCCCCTCTTTCCTTGGTTAAACTGGGAACCTGACCTGCAGAACCTCACCCTCTTCCTTGGGATGCCACTGACTCTTTTCCAAAGCCTTGAACAGCAAAGAGCTCCAAGGTCAGTGAGAGATCACTCTTACTCATTTGGCAAAGGCTAAGGAAGGACTCACTGAACCTTTAGTGTAACTTTGACACTGGGGAGGGCCTATGAATGGGACAAGATGGGAAAACTCTGTTCACGGACCGTGGCTTATGACCTTTCCTTATCAGCTTACTGCCCTGACTTAATCTTTTCTAAACCCAAAGTTCCATGGGCAGAAACGATATTTGTCTTTTTCTTTCAGGACTAAAGAACTATAACCAAGGGATGATTTTCAAGGCTATACAATCAATCTCTCGCTCGCTCTCTCTCTCTCTCTCTCTCTCTCTCTCTCTCTCTCACTCACACACACACACACACACACACACACACACACACACACACACACGGAAAAACGAATGCGTCACTGGCTTGGGTAGGACCTGTAGATGTTCCTACCCCGTCCCTGGGTTAAAGATGTTACTATTCAGAGCTCTGAGAGAACATTATTGTTAGGATATGGACAAGATTTCTTGGTGTCCTGGCTCAGGGCCAAGGTGAAGCCCCTCAAGCTGGGCAAATTGCTTAATCTCTCCAGCTTTTCAAGAGCTCCTGGCTAGGAAGAACCAGATAAGAAATGGTGTGGCAAAGGCTGCCCTTGATCATTTTAGTCAGTGTCTCTAGGAGGAGTCAGTTAGCATGCTGCTCTAAATCTGCTTTCTTTTTAACTCCTGGCATTCTTGTGGTGCCTTTGATGGGATTCAGATAGTCTTCAGGTACCTGGTAGAACTCAGCCTCTGCTCTACCTCCACAATTTGTACTTCCAAGCCACTCTTGGAGGGAAGCATCATCGAAGTCTGGTTGCCAGGGTAACGGCCACTGTTCTCAGATGACAACAAGCTTGAGGAAGTCGATGTTTTACTGTTCAGCGATGGCATTGTTATTGAGCAGAAAATATTCACTATGGCTCTTTGTCTCTTTCTCTGTTCGACTGTTATTCCAAACACTCATCTGAAGCATCTCCCTGCCAAGTCTGGACAAGGTTTTAGTAAGCTGTTACACTGCCCATAAGCCTCTTGCTCAGACACTCCTGAATTCGGTACTCTTCTTCACTTCCGATCCTAGATTTTGTGGTTGAGGTTATAAGCTGCCTGTTTCTGGAGGTGATTAAGCAGAGACTTATGTATGTTTAATTTATTGTCAAAGGAATGACTTCTGCATTGAGGGTTGGCTCATGTAACATTTTGTGAATGACAGTCTCCCTATGTTGTCTAGCTGGCCATTTCTACTGCTCCTCCTGCTTCAGCTCCCTAGGGTGTTAGAGGCATGGGCCACCACACATAGCTTCGCCTCAGAGAAGTTCCAGTGATCTTTTCAATTCCAGATTCTATGACTGGACTTGTCTATCGCAATAGTTAAACAGCAGTGCGCTCCACAGCAAAAGCAGTAGCATTTCACTGCCTTGTCAGAGGCAGCTGAACAGTCACACTGTCTCAGATACTGTGTTATTGAGTGACTAGAGAAACAATGGCTACCCTGTCATGTATCCCTAGTACATGTATTGCTTACCCAAATATACATCCTTAGTGATACTGTGTGTGTGTGTGTGTGTGTGTGTGTGTGTGTGTGTGTGTGTGTGTGTGTGTGAGAGAGAGAGAGAGAGAGAGAGAGAGAGAGAGAGAGAGAGAGAGAGAGAGAGAGAGAGAGATCTGGCCTCCATTATAAGAAAATATTCCTGTGATCATTTTCTTTCTTTCTTCCTATCTTTTCTTCAATGATTTATCCCCCAGGATATAAGATTCAACTTGCATTTCCCCTGTTTGGAAGGAACAACCTCCTCAATCAGCTGCTCTCACATCAGACAGGATTTCTGGGTCCAGAGCAAGAACTGAGTTCTTGCCACAGTTCTTCTCACCCTGTTGCACTCAGGCGGTCAAATGGTTCTTACACAAAGAAAACCCGACAACCTTGGAAGGAGGACACAGCAGCCTAGACATGCATTGTTACATAATACATACTAGTTGACGGCATCAGAATTGACAATGGGTACAGAACTTGTCTACATTGACAGGACTGCCGCAGCATTAGTACCTGATCTTCCACCCTGAAAGTAGACAAAACAGTTATTGTTGCCCCTGTGTTCCAGATGATGAAGTGGTGACTCATGGGGACATGCCCAATTTTGCAGAGTTCATTAGAGACTGAGCTGAGATCCAAACCTGGTTACTTGGCCTCCTAGTCTAGTACGCCACCCTCTTAACTATCCGACTGACTTACATGCGTCTAACAGTTCCCTCTGTGACTAGGGATGGAAAAACAGGCAAGGTTAACAACAGTTCAGTCTAACTGAAAAACTACTTCTGTGGCTCCTATCAACTTACTGGCTACTATGTTGCACGGTGAAGACACAGGGAAACTGAATCTCCTTTCATTCAGGATGTGTTCAAGCTGCTACTTTTATCGGTCCCAAATGTGAGCAATATGTAGATATCTCTGCAGCATCTTGCCTAAGCAAAGACCCTTATGTTCCACCCACCTTACACTGAATAGACACTGCTGGACACCAGAACTTCACAGCTTCCACCCTTACGGGACGTAGAAAAGCCCTCAGGTCTCAGTCAACAAGTGCCCTTAGATAGAAGCCTTCTTGGTACAGCAGGAATTCAGATTAAGTCCATGATACTTACTAGAAATGTTGAGCTGTATGTGGTGTGCACATAAACACACACACACACACACACACACACACACACACACACACACACACACACGTGCACACACACATATGCACACACAATCCATATCTATTCCCCACAGATATGGATTAGATACAGATAATAGATAATCCATATCTATTCACAATGATAAAACCATTGTGAACTGTAATTTCATTTTCTGAACCTGGAATATCCAGCATAGACACTTCTAAGTCTGAGTCCAATTTTCCCTGTTCCTCCATCCTATTGATGCCAAACATGCTCTGAAGTTTGTATCAGGGAAGTGAGTACTTGATATATCTGAGGATTAGTCAATATTCAAGTTGCCCCCAGTGGAACCAGGGGTTCCAGATGACCCCACCATAACCAGGGCCTTAAGATCAAGGGAAAGGAGAAAGGAGAAGGAGGTGAAGGGGTAGGAAGCCACATGGTCACATCCATCCTGCTGGGCATTCTCTCCAAGAATCTGTGGGACTCCACATGTACTGATGGAACTCATTGGCAATAAAGCATTAGGCTGAGTACAGCAGAGAAGGAGTTAATACGATGAAATGCTAAGGAATGAAAACAGAAAACAAGTGCCAAAACACAACTTATCTAAACCACTGGAAACCCAATGCCCCAAAGTTGGAACTTCTCCTTCGAATCCCTGCATCTTCGCTGCTAAAGTTTTCGAAACTCACCCATGTCTTTGGCACTCTGCCTCCAATTGCAGCCTGCTGGCTAGTCTGCTTTGCGGCTGACTTTGTTCAGCTGCAAGGATCCTGGTCTCTCCAGTCTCCTTCTTCTGTCCTTTACTTTTTCTCTCTGAGTATCTTTGTCCTCTCCTCCTGCAATGAAAAGGACTCTCTGATTGACAGCCAACCCCCTTAAAGAGACAGGCTCGCTTTCCTCCTCCTCTCCTCCTCCCCTTCTCCTCCCCTTGTCCCCACCTCCTTTGGGATCCTCCCTTCTTTAAGGGCTCCATCTTCTCTTTCTGCCTTTCACTCCCAATTGTTTCTTTTTTTTTTCCTTCTTTTTTCTAAAGCTTCTCTAGAATTTCATTTTGCTACAAAGACATCTGTAAATGTGAATTGGGGGTGGGAATTAAATGGAGGGGTCCTGCAATCCTCCAACTGATCCTTGGGTCTATCTGATGCATCATACCTCAGTCTGAGCATGCTGAAGTCGTGTGAAATGGTAGCCCCGATGAGGGGGACTGGATCAAAAACCCACACGCTACGCTATCAAATATGCCCCACACAACCCTCACTCCTAGCTGCCCTTGACCCTGGAACCTTCCCCCCCCCTCTGTTTGTTAACAAAAGGCACCCTCCGCTTCTAGAATTATAACGATTACATAGTTAGACAATGGAGACACAAAGGAGGGGGCAAGATCTATGCCAAGTTCACAGAAAGAAAGAGGCCAGGGTGGAAGTTGGAGGTGATTTCTAAGGAGAATTCACTTTGAGAGAAGATAGTATCAAAATCTGGGAATCTGCTAGTCAACATCTACCCAGGAAATGTGCTGTTCTCATCTGCAAGTGAAGACAAGGCAGAGGGAAGCAAGGAGCTGTTAGGAGTGTAGCAGTCGGGTGTGGGGGGAGAAAGGAAATACAGCCCTGTCTCGGAGAACATTCTATTAAAAATGGTTAAGCACAGTGAAAACAGGAATAATATATGAAACGTCTATACTGGTAAGACTGATTTCCGAAGTCTGTGAAGGGACCCGAGTGCCAAATATAAAAGGTGATATTTGTTAGGGAAAGTTTTCTATAACTTTCTTGAACAGGTTACCCTTAAGTGCTGATGTGGGTTCTTTGTCACTCTCAGGTCAGGAGCCTCAGATGGTCATAACCCTCTTGATCTAGAAGCAAGAGTCTACTCCTGAATGGATCTAAGGCAGGTCATTGGTCCATAACAAGAGCAGAGACTGTCATCTCTACACACCTAAGAAATAAGGTATGTTCTCCTGAACTTGTCCCGTGGTTTTGTCTTGAGATAAGAGACAACAGAGGAGGGAAACCGAGCAGAGCCTAAAGTTTTCTGTGGAGGAAGAGAACACATACTGTGTGTTAGGGACTTCTTTTGTGATTTTCCACAGGCTTCTGGCTGATTACACTGGAGTCCAGAACCGTGCATTATACAACACTGACTCTAGAACAAATCTTCTGCTCTTATACAAGCTCCAATGTGAAGGGACCCTTGTACATGCCTCTTGCAGAACAGTGAAGTAGTGGCTTCTCAGAGCGGAGCAGACTGCGGCCATGACTGACTGTCGAGGGCGTTCAGCCGGTGCCTTCCCAGGCATGCCCTCCAGACAAAGACTCCGCCTGCCATAGAAGTACAGTTGCAGGCTCTTCCTTCTATTCACGGCCCTGGAGGAGAGGGATGATGGCAAACCGAACTGACTTTGGCCATTCTGATGCAGGGCATGAGAAAGAAGATCGTTAAGAACTCAAATAGCCAAGGCAGATCTCTGTACAGGGGAAATCACTCAGACTGAGTCCTCTTATACATCTTATACATTCTCAGCAGTGTCTCTAGGACTGACTAGACTACTCAGACGAAAATAATTCCCCAGGAAACTCACAGACACCAAGTCATCTACCATATTCTCCTGAGGCCTCTTTTCTTTTCTCCTTCCCACCCTCTCTACTGTCTTACAGTTTATTTCATCCCTGTTCTTCCTCTTGTCCCTCCTCTCTACCCCCTTCCTCCCCTTCTCACTGATGGGGTGGGTCTTCCTGTGTCTGCCTTGCTCTTATGCCAACGGCTCGGAAAGGAATTGAGCCAGGTAATTATGTCACACTCTCCCCAGTGCCCTATGGTTCTCGGTTCCCTCAGATCTAGTGTGTTGTAGTGGCTCTGTCCATCTGACAGTCTGCCTGGACACTCTCTCTGCATCCTTGTTCTAAGTCCTCCCTACAATCCTTATAGGAGTTCTTCCAGGTCTTAAAGAAGCTCCCGACCCCATAAAGTCCATCCACCCCACCTATTTCTGTGACTCTGTTTTCACTGGGTCTCATAAGTGAGCTGAAGAAAATGTTCTCCATTCCCGCCGTGCTTCTGCAATGCCCAAAACTTCCTCCAGAGGGCACCAGCAGCCTTCATGGGGACCTGTGAGGAAGAACAAAGCAGGACTGTATTAAACTAGTAAACACTGTGCTTCCAGCACTTCTTGTAGAACCACCCGAGAACCTGGCCCTCCTTGATCACAGTTTGGTTTAGTTGTACGACTGTCTTCAATTAACGACAAAATACTTGGATATTCCCTCCATTCTCTCCTCTGTCACCTCACAGCACCAGATTCTTGGAGGCCCGAAAGAAGATGGCAAATTTTCGTTGCTCCACTGAGCTAGGGCATTCAGAGAAGCCCAGTAACTTTCCCCCTGAAAACTAGATAAGCACACAAGTGCCCAATCTGGTGGTACACTTCTCCATGTCCACTTAGAAGATGGAAACGGAACCAGAGAAGGCATAGTACCAGTGAGTTCTCGGGCTCATCTGGTGGTACTGGAGAATCTAGAGCTGAGGCTTTTCTTGTCCTACCCAAGAAGACCATGTCATTATAGGCCCAATTTGGAAGGCGAGTGGCCGCTTGTTACAGTTTTTTTCCAGTCCTGGCACAGAAGACTGGCAGAACGGGAGGCAATATATCAAGTCCTGTGTTATTTGCAGATAGAACTTTCCACACCCAACTTTCTGCCGATTGGTTTGGCCATGCCTTTCTGGCCAAGAGAACTGAGGGCTGAGGGCCAGAGATGCCACATTCTTTGATCATGCAGGGTGTGTATGTGTGTGTGTGGAGGGGAGGGTGCTGCTCCTTTCCTGGTCATTCAAAGAGCAATGCAAGGATGGACACAAGTAACTGGTAAATTGTGTGTGTATTTATAAAGGAGAGATGCTAATCGTTTGGGAGAGAGTAAAGAAAGGAGCTTAGAAGCCAAAACATTCAGACAAATAAACTCAGGAAAAGAGCACCCGAAGCATGCCAAATAGCCAGTAGCAGTGCGGAGAAATGAGCTGTCCACATAAGCCACCCAGAATCCTGAAAACTGGCTATCTTTACTAGGGTAGCCTCTACAGAGAAGATGCATATATACGAGTTCTAACAGCAGCAGAATTCAAATGACTTCTGTGCTTGTCAATACTCACCCAACTCTAAGGAACACATTTTAGCCTTTTCCATTTGAGTAATAGGGGACACAGAAGCAGCTTTCCCAGGGCTATCTATTAGGCAAAGAAACAAAACTAACTTTAGAAGATACCCCTAACCAGCCTCATTGCTTGGAACTTGCTGGGACAACTGTTCTGCTCTGAAAGAATGCTTGACTACAGAGCCTCTTTCCTGAACAAGAATAGCCAGGGGGAAGATGGGCAGGCTTCTGGCTGCCATGGTCCAAGTTTCTAATCCTTCATACTCCTTGAGCAAAGTGCAAAGTGAATGTTGGAAATGCAGTGGTTTTTATATATCTTATGGGATTTGAAAGAAGTGGGAGTCAGAAGAGACCATACGACAGGAAAGACCATTGGTGTGCTTGTGAGCTGTGATCATAGTACCAGGACAGACTGTGAGTATGGGTGCTGCTAGAGAGCCAACTCAGAGCCTTTGTGTTCTAGGCAAACACTACTAAGTTGCATCCCCAGATGTAGGGATTTTTTTAAAGAGACTTTATTTTAGAAATCTTCATGGCCAAATGTCACAATCCCTGAGCTTTGTCCACTCCAGAAAAATATATTAGCAAGATTCGATGAAATAATATTGGCCAAATTTTGATAATTGTTACAACTGCATGAAAACATGGAGGTTTATCTTATTATTTTCTCTACTTCATGCATGACTAAAATATGAATTCAAAAAAAGAAGAGTCATTATAGTTAAAATTCAGACTAAGCCAGAAACAAAAAGGAAAACATTCCCAGCGGGGATGTCTATTTCTGGAAGGGTACACCTAGCCTGGAGAAAGGGGTGGAAATCTGGAGATTAAGAGAAGCCTTTTTATTCTATGCTCTTTAGCATGACTGTAGTTGATAATTATGTGTATTTCATGCCTACTTTATTGAAAATTTCATCTGAAAAGTCCTTCAGACAACTGTCCATAGATCCTTCAGGTCTCTTCCCCTGATTTCAGGTAGCCCTTAGCACAGTGGTTAGGCTGGCCCTCCACTGTCCTGCTTGACATTCACCCTGCCTACACCCTTCTGCCTACTGATACACAGCTTCTGAGGATGCTATGGCCAGTAGAAGCCCTTAGGAAACCCTCTTAGGGCACAGCTGGTTAGCGGAGGAGTGGGAGAAAACATGTGCCCATGCTATCCAAAAGCCCTTCACCCAGGAGGTAGCCTGCCAGAGGCACAAAGCCTTTCTGCCTCCCTACGGGTTCCACCAACACTGAAGGCTGCATTCTGTCCCTCGAGGGACTGGCTCTAGCAGCTGCCTAGACCTCTTCTTGATGCCATAGCCCTGGGCAGTCTTTACAGAGATGAGTCAACCCCTTCTGGTATAACAAAAGCAATAATAAAATTTGCTGAGCCTTTCAGAGAGGAACATGGCCAAGCATCTGGCTGCATCGCCAGCTGAAGGGTCGTTCACTCTGGGCTATGACACTGCAACTTGAAGTTGGGGTGCTATAGAGCAGACTGTCTAACCTTGAAGCTAATGTACCTTTCCTGGGAAACTAGGCCAATGGCCAGAATGAAGAAGCAGGGGAAACCTCAGTCCTCCCTGCTGAGAGCTAAATGCCTCTGGTAAGTGCATGGCATGTTGCTGGAGCTTAGGGCAAGTGGGCCCCGCAGAGAGCCCTTGCTTTTCTATCTCCTCTCAGGCCCCAGCTGAGCCATGCCTGAGCAGCTGCTTTGCCCAGAAGCCTGGGCCGAAGTGACAGCCTAGAAGCTGGTACAGGGAAAGACAAGAACTCCTCTGTGTCTAGGTAGGATGGGGCGAGCTTTTGCCTGTGTTGGGCTCTCCCACTCTCCAACCACTGCTGCTCAAAGGGCTTCACTGCTGCTGGGCTTCCTCTGTGAAACCAGGAGTAAGAAGAGGGGGCCCTGGCCCCCAGAGCCGAAGTCACCTCAGGGACCTGCCAAGTTGATGGCCAGCCCCTGAATCAGGAGGTGCTAATATATCCTCTACCATGGCCTAACTTGTGAGATTGTGTGCACCCTGGCTCTCAAGAGAAAATGCTTTTGTTTTAAAAGTGCCATTGTCAAAAACTTCAGTCTAAGAAGCATTCATCTTGGAGGACCTTCCAAAGAGGGCCATACCTGCTCCGTGGGTTACCTTTCCATATCCTGCAGAATTTTGAAGGCATTGCAACCACTTCCACAGACTGAATACAGCAATTTTTTGGCAGGACTTCAAAGAGAACAATGGCAGCAGTTCCCTGCTGCCTCACTTGCCTGCCTGAAGCTGAACCATTAGAAAGACAAGAAAACTCTCACTAGGATGTAATGTACTTTTACTGGGTCTACCATCGTGGCCTGCCCCTAGAAAGTCCATTCAGTACACTGCTTTGGAGATCTCTCTAAGGTCTTGGCCTTTGAAAGAGGCACCAAACCTAAGTCTAAAGAAACTCACCTTGGTGTTAGAAGCCGTTCAACCTCCAGTTTTCATAAAAGGGACAACAGAGAGATGGCTGGTGGAGGCTTTAGGGGGACTGGATCTTTCCCCGAAAACTGTACTTGGAGAAACTGACTTTCTGGGGTTCCGAGTGGTCGTCCTCTCTTCATGATAACCGGGCAAAAAGAAAGGACTTTGAAGGGTTCAGCTAGACATCAAGTGGCCTTCCATCTGGTCAGGGATCTACGTGAGTACAGAGTACAGTGACTTAAAACACAGACTGAAGGGCTGGAGATGGAGCACAGTGAGTGAGTGCTTGTCGAGCATAGCAAAGCCCTGGGTTCAGTACCTGTCTCCAGAAACAAGCCCAACCCCCAGCTTCCTTCCTTCGAAACAACCATAGATTCAGTTACTCAGACCTGCTAGGGATAGCAGACCAGCTCTATGACACTAGGCAAGGATTGAGCCTTGGCCTTTTCATTCCTAAAAAGATGTAACAAGAGTGGTGACCTGATATGGTTACTAACTTCAGACATCACCATGGATCTTCTTTCTATTGCTATTATTATAGGGCAGAGGGACCATCAGGATTTATATAAGATAATGAACATGAAATTCTTAGTACATCGCCTCTGCTATGGAACAAAAACAGTATTAATAACAACCAGGTGAGGGGACTGATACTCTGGAAATGCTTCATAAAACAACAAGCAGACGCTGAACTTTAGTGACCTCTGGTACCGACACCTTTCAGATCTAGGACTTCTAGGGATCTCCAAAATTTGCCTATCCTTAAAACAGCAATTAGGAAATGTGCTTGGTAGAAATACTGAAATGTCTTGGGACTCATTGAGCTGTTTCACAATTTCATTTAGTGTTTTCCAAAGACTCCACATCCTCTGAGTTTAAAGCCCTCACCAGCCAACAATTTTCCAGCAAGAAAAACATTTCCCACGATGCAGGTCCTTCACTGTGAAAACTGGGTACATCTTGGGGAACCCAAGGCAGGTTGGTTAGCCTATACCAGTGCCAGAGAACTACCCAAACTCCACACTTTAAGCAGTTGTCTCAGGAGTTGCCACCCACAGCAGGTTAAGAGCTTCCCCTGTGCTAAGGCCACCGTATGGGACATTACCAAAGTCCCCATCCTTCTCTGAAACATTATGCCCAGACAAAGCAGGGCTACCAGATTAAATGCACACTGCACAACTGAATTGGTAGTCCAGATAAACTGAATTATTGTTTAATATGTGTGTCCTAAAGGCTGGATGGAACATGCTCACATTTTTAAAAAGCCTATCGTTTATCCAAGAGTCAAATGTAACCGAGTACCCTTTGATTTGTTAATCTGGCAATTCTACAGGTCAGAGCAGTCAGCTGGCAATGGCAAGCCAAGCTGGCTTCTGGGGAAGGTGCCAGAAATGCTGCTAAGGGAACCTCCAACAAAAAAATACAGTTTCCTATCGACAGCTGTTCTACGCTGAACTTCAGCCCCAGTTCCTTCATCTGCTGGGCCTGCCTTTGGCCTCTCAGTCTTACTCTAATCTAGGGAAGCTCTTCCAGGGTGAGAGACCATATGGGCCCCGAGACAGGCTGCACAATGCTTGAGACTCAGGACTCTGCGGTCAACCAAGCTGGGTTCCTAACCCACTCCAGCTTAGGCCAAAGCACAGTAAGTGGCAATTCCTGTTAATACTTAGAGCCTGACCTTCCTCCCACTTCCCTCTTCTCTCCCCTTCTTGGGCGTTGGGTGAAGTGTAGAAAAATGGAATGGTCTGTAGATGTAGGCCTGGTCAAGAGAGAGAGCGCTTGGGCCTTATCTGGAAAGCCTATTAGAAACATTTAACCAACTGGGGATCCAGATACAGCTGACACAGAGGGAGCGAGCCTGTGCTGGGCCCTGTGCTAGGGGAATACTGGAGCAGAAGCAAGCATAGCATCAGTCTGTCCTTTCAATGTCAAATAAAGTTGACTCAAGTGCCCACCCTAACCCTTGTCAGGAAAGTTCAGTGTCTCCCTGAGATAGTCCTTAGAAATCTTAAGGGCTCAGAATCCTATGTGGTTCAGAACTGGAGCTTCTAATAAACTTCAGATTTCACAACTCATCTTCTATTCATTAATTTTTATGTATTTATTTTTTTTTGGTCAGGCGACAGGAACATCGTTCTTTCCTGATTTATAACTTTTAAAAACCCATTTATATGAAGACCTTTGTAACTGACATATTGTGTCAAGGTTTACATAAACGGAGGAGACATATGTTATAACGATATAAACAATTAAAAATCGGTTACCAGCGGTTCCATTGTCAGCTGGAAATTCTCGGTAAACTCCAATGTTGAGCTCTGGATGCATTCCTGCTCCTCCTTCTTATCTCTCATTTCTGGTTTTTCTCTGGCTCACCACAAATCCACGTTCCTTTCTTAATAAACAGCATCTCAGCTCCGTATGTACTACATTCCACTCCTTTTCACCAGATTCCTCCTCCTATTATTTTGAGACAGAGTATATCATTTTCTCAGAGGTTGGCCTTGAACTCTAGATCTTTCTGTTTCAGTTCCCCAAGTGCTGTTAATCATAGACATACGCTACCATACCCTGGGAAGGAAATTCCTTAAGCAAAAGCTTGATGTGAGCTGAGGAAATAATCATGTTTTTATTACATTACCCTGGTACAAACTTAATAAATATTGATCCATCAACATACAAAGACAGGGTTGTTATACCTATCTCACACATGAGCAAACTGAAGCTTTTGATGTAGTCCTGGGAGACCTACATAAAATTCAACCCTATTTCTTCCAAGTCTAGTGTTCTTTCCATTACCCAAGGATGTTGCTGGGGAGAAAATATTTCAGAAAGTACTAAATTATGTATTAAAGCAACTAGAGGAAAAAAAATATGTATATATACCAGAGATGGTAGGTAGAGAGATACTCCCTGGTAGAAGAGTTCTTTGTGAGGGAAAAGATTCTACCTGCTGTGGTCCATAGCCTCTTCCTCTGGCCAGCTCCCAGAGCTAGCGCTGCCAAACTCTCTGTGAAGAGCAAAACCCCACCCCTACAGAGTCACTAGGTCCTGGCATTCCTGAGTTGTTTCCTGTAGATGCCACTTTTGAAGTTCTAGTGATCACACTTTTGTATTGTTTGTAAACAAATTTTGTTTCAAGGTCTCCACACAGTCTAAAGTGGATGTTTTTCCTATGTGTAATTAACATAAGAAGTCTGAGCACCAGAGAACTCAAATGATATTGCCCATCTAGTAAGGGGCAGAAGCCAGACTGCTGGCTGGCTGATTTCATATGCATGTGCTATCAATGAGCATGTGCTGTCAAAGATCATGAGGAATACATGTGGAGTTGATAAAGCTGGGTTTGTCATTCACTGCAGCAAATGAAAACACCCCGTTCTCACTCACTGTATTCATTTCCCTTCAAGTATCAAGTAACAAACTCAACTGTATCAAGCACAAATGTACTAATGATCTTTGGCTGGCAGGCATTGATAGAAATAGCGATTGATCAACATTCACCTGAACTGTTTCTACCTTGGAGCCACATCTTCCATTTAGTGACCAAAGATTTCATGTTTAAAGTTTAAGAAGGACACTGAGATCGACTGACCTTTTTATTAGAGATTGATTAGAAGAGATGGTAATGCTACAGATAGACAAAAATATGGCGGTGACTCTGAGGAGATCAGCCCTGCATGGTAGAGTAGGAGTTTCTGCTCACAGTTTTCCCTGCAAGTGGGGTGTGAAGGAAACTGAAATCTCCCTTTTCTCTGGAATGGGCCATTGCTGGGGTAGGTAATCAATAAGTGCCCAGTTAAAGAACTTTAAGTGCACAATAAATATCTTTCATAGCCATTATAACACAACCCTAGCTAATAATAACCACACTTGAAATTCCTTCTATCTGCCTCTTTGAGATGACAGTCTGCCCACATGTACTGGGGGAGGGGTCTAAGTGGGGGAGGTCTAAGTTCACACTGAATCCAACTATGATGTCTCACTGAAGCCCTTCATGTGGTTACCATGATTAACATTTTCATTTACTATTATTAATATTCAAACATAGTTAAAACCTTAAGATTATAACCTAGTTTGCTTATATATTTGTGTATGCATAAGTTCATACAAATAAAGGTAGAGTAGGTATTCATTTCCTATAAATTTGTAAGAATAAAGTGCTAAAGGAGTAAAATTTTAACTTGTGTCATTTTTACATAAAGTAACTGAATTATTTGACATCCAGATTAGTTGCGGTTCCTTTCTGGCCTCAAAATGTTTTTCTACCTCTCAGAGCTTTTCTATATATCCTGAAAACATTTTTAAAAAGTCCTTACTAGTAAACCAAAAATTGACATACAGGTAGCTACTGTTTATTGCTGAATGACTTTCCAATGTTGAGTACAAATCTTTCTCAAGGTGCTTATGACTTACATATTGCCTCTTATACTGATGAGTCCTAATTTTACCTCCCTGCAGTGGTTTGAGTGGAGAATGTCCCTGCTGGGTTCATGTATTTGAAGACTTGGTCTGCGGTTGGCGGCACGGTTTGAGAGAGGTCATGGAACCTTTAAGACGTGGAGCCTTCCTTGATGAGGAAGAGCATCACCAGAGGCAGACTTTGATGGTTTATAGCCTCACCTCACGTACTGTTTGCTCTCTCTGCTTCTGGGGTGTGGACAATAATGTAACCAGGTAGTTTCCTGCTCCTGCCCAGCATGCCATTCCTTCCCCACCATTATGGATTCTAGTCACCTGGAACCATAAGCCAAAATCAACTCTCTCTTCTTTAAGTTGCTTTTGGACATGGTATTTTATCACAGTGACAGAAAAAGAACTAATACACCTTCCTGCCTGCAGAATAATAAAATCACTATGATATTTTCTATGCCTAAGTTATCTCTGGGTTTTCTAAAGTGGCCATTTAGATGACACAATGATTTAACATTTTACCCTATAAAAGAGAGAGCAGAAAGATAATTAGGTTTATTTAAGCTTCTCTTTGAATTAAGTACAACTATTAAAAGAATTTTGTCTGTTATACTTAGCATCAAAATAATCTGACAAATTAAAAGCAGAATTCATCAACCAGATATAAGTATGCAAATGGAAACATATTTCAGTGCCTGCATACTTTTCAAAAACCTTACTTATATTTAAACACAAGGACTGTAAAATATCTGTGTGCCAAAATCTTTCTTGGGATTTTAGCTCAAAACCCTCTATTCCGTTTCTATTTATAAAGTTTCTGCACAGGTGCTAAGGGTATTTATTTGATGAGAGTGGTCAGAAGTTATTGCGTATTTCAGGCTTTCAATAGATGCAGGAGTAAGACATAGCTACTTTTGTCTGAGGGCCATAATAGCAACAGTAAAATGTGTACAAACCAGAACTGGCGTAGCTCTAGCTTTCCACTAAACTACTGGTTCTCTATGCAGTGCAAATCCGGCGCTCTTGACTCTCATGGCTTGTCAGCTTGTTGCCACACCTTCTAAACACCACCAGTGTTCCTTCCACACTTGCTGGTGTGCTCTAAACATAAGTGAGCTTCTTCATCATAGTCACCACTGGTAGCTTGTGCAGACCTTCAGAGACACTCGTCTGCTTTACAGAAACTGGTTAACAGTACTAAAAAATTTAAGTAACTGAGGTAGGCAGAAGACTTACATTGCAAATACCAAGTTGTAGGTTCCATCCCTCATATGCTAAGTCCATTAACTTAGAGGGACCTAAAATGGGTTCACTCAACTAGCTATAGATGATGCTTTTACTCTCAACACAGTCCATGTCTTTCCCTATATATGGCATGAGACATACTACATCCTACTTTATCCTGTATGTTTTGGATACTTTTTAGAGACTATTAGATATTTCTAGAAAGTTAGCACTTCAGAGGATAGTGTTTCTCCAAAAAATCTTTGTTGTTGTTTAAGACAGGGTCTCACTATGAAGTTCTGGACAGCCTGGAACTCTGTGTAGACCAGGCTAGCCTCAAGTACATAGAGGTGTGACTGCCTATGCTTCCCAAGTGCTGGGATTAAAGGCATATGTCATCACACCTGGATATCTATCTTTTTAAAAATTACCCCCAAATACCCAATTACCTCCAAAGTGAGGCACACATGGGATTTTTTTAGAACTCCCAAAAGGAAGCCTGATTGCCTCTTCATGCCCACTACATGAGCTGAGAATCTCATGGTAGGAACAATGCAACTGACAGGAATGTGTACTTCTCACCCCTAGCAAAAGTCATAAATAACATTCTACTCTGAAAGTACAACAAACTATTCTAAATTCAGAATCTATGCTTTTTTTTTTTTTTTTTTTTGGTTTTTTGAGACAGGGTTTCTCCATGTAGCTTTGCGCCTTTCCTGGAACTCACTCTGTAGTCCAGGCTGGCCTCGAACTCACAGAGATCTGCCTGCCTCTGCCTCCCAAGTGCTGGGATTAAAGGCGTGCGCCACCATCGCCCGGCTCAGAATCTATGCTTTTTATGAGCAGTCTCATTGTCCTCACTAACCTCCTAACTGTTAAAGCAATTATATGCTGGAACAAATAATTCTTGCCATGGCTATATGATAAGAGATAAATAAAATAGTCAAAAGTTTTGAACACGTCCGTAGTAACTAAGTAATATATACTGTCCACTTTCAAATGATACTGCATACCCACTGTCTTATGAGAGGTCTCAACATCTCATCCTGCAACATAAGGAACAGAAGAGACTAATGCCATTCTTACTACAGACTATGTTCTCTAAATAAAATCTCGGTGGTGTTGAAGCTTGTCCATCACGGATTCCCGTCCTGCAGGCTAACTATGTTTATTCTTGGCAATAAGTGAGGAACTAAGACAGAAAAACACAGTCCCCAAAGCTAGAACTTGCCCTGGTCTTACCAGTTAGTCCTGGCTGTTGCCTGCTAAACAAAGTCACAGAATGTCAACATCAAATAAGGCCAATCCGTGACCATGAAAGATAAGACTACAGTGTAACTAGCTCTGAACAAAGACAAACTATGAACAATGTTTAAACCATAGACATGACTGAACTTGCCACTGCCCTTGCTAATATGAACTGATGCTCCTTTATCTTTGCTTTCATATTTCTCCTCACAACAGATCATTACTAAGATGCCTTATTATAGAGATGCCTGCTTCCTGAGTGGAGACAGGAGGATTCCTGCAGGTCATCGGCCTGCCAGCCTAACTGAATCAATAAGCTCCAGGTTCAACGAGAAACCCTCTCTCAAAAGCTAACATCTGGGGAGTTGGCTCAGTAGGTAAAGTGCTTTCTCTGCAAACACAAAGGCCTGTCTGGATCCCAGCAGCCAAGGAAAAGCCAGGCATGCTAACACATGCATTTGTAATCCCAGCACTAGGGAACAGAGACAGGAGGATCCCCAAGGATTACTAATCAGCCACCCTAGACATAATGGTCAGCTTCAGGATAGAGAGAACCTGTCTCAAAGACTAAGGTGTGAAAGCAATTAAAGAAGATATCCAGACCTCAGCTGCTGGCCTCCACACATACCTACAGGGGTGAAAACATTCATGCACATGCATATACCACATATATGTACATGCACGCATGAGTGGGAACATAGACACACATACACAGAGACAGAGACATACACAAATGTATAAAGTGGTTGTGATCTTTATACCCATGCACACACATGCACATCCATGCATACATACACAAAGTGCACACATATACAAGGTGAAGGAGGAGGAAGAGAAAGGACATGCTTTGAGACTCTGCTTCCTGAAAGTATTCAACCTGGAGCAAAGCCCTGCTCCCATATGCCCTCCTCACCATTACATTACGATGAACCCAAATCCTATAACATTCTTAATACCATCTTACTAAGGTATAACCTAATTTTCCCTTGCTGCAATGAGTAACACGCATATTACTTCACTTTTATTGCTCCCATTTTACAAGTAATAAACACAGGACCCCAAATTTAAATAACTTCTTCAAATTATTCAGCAAATAAACTAAGAAACCTATGCAAGAATCCAGGATTTGCTCTTTGCACTATGCTACACAGCCCTTAAAATACTCCATACATAGAAGTTGTATTGTTTCTGGCAGTGCCTCAAAAGAAAATTCCATTTTCTAACAAGTTACATCATAAGCTTGTATTATACCCTCTACAACTGGCCTTACCAGGGGCTGGAAAGATGGCTTGGTGGTTAAGAGTGCATACTGCTCTTCCAGAGGACTCACATTCAATTCCCAGACTCACATCAGGTGGCTCACAACTTCCTTTAACTCCTACTCTAGAGGATCCAACACACTCTTCTGTCTTCTGTGGGTACCTGCACTGTTCCCATAGGCACTCACACATATTTTTAAATTAAATAATAACAAAATAAATCTTTAAAAAAGATTGTCTTCCGCAATTTTAAAAGCTCAAATTAGCCTTGATCACAGTAGTGGGTCATTAAATTGTGTCTGTATGTTTATCCAAGATATGGAACCACTCTAGGTACCTATACTCAGAAAATGTGGTACATATACACAATGGAACTTCATTCAGCGTGAAGAAAAATTACATTGGAAGGAAAATGTAGGGAACTGGACAACATATTCAATGAAACAAGTAGGATATAAAAAGACAAATGTTGCATGTTTTCTCCATATGCAGAATTAAGGTTTCAATCTGTAATACTGATATAGTCTGCATAGTCTTTAAAAAAAAGGTACCTCCCTCCACCCCCTCCAAACATATATATTCAGGACACAGGAACTGAAAGGGACTACGAGAGGGGAGACGAGAAGTAACTAAATTGAGGGAGAGGAAAACAAGAGAAGGGAGTGGAACAAATCTGACAGACATTAAAGCCTAAGGAAGGACCTTGAGAGTGGAAGGGGACCAGCAAAGAGGCAAAAAGAGTAAAACATAACAGGATTGATCAGGAAAACGTCACCAGGAAGCCGGGTTCTGTATGCTAACCAAAAAAGTATAAAAAGAGAAAGTGGCCTGTGTGTGTGTGTGTGTGTGTGCGCGCATGTGTGTGTGCTTGCGTGCATACATGCATTCATGTGTATGTGAGTTATGATTTGTGACGCATATTAATGTGTTACCTGATTTATTCTGGGATTTCACTTGGCTAATAGAATTATTGTGACCCTGTCTGCACAGTACATCAACAGGAAATGCTCATTTTTCTCAGGTCTCTTCGAGGCTGGTGCTGACAGAGGTTAAAAGCTCTGCAGGCCATGGTAAGGCCGCTGCTAGCTCAGCACAGGACTTTCCGGGGAGAATGAAGGGAGGGGCCAGAGCTCCCGCTGCAGAATGTCTATTTAGTGCTGATGGAGGACAATTACAGCTAGTCTTACAACAAGGACAGAACGGCTCCTCTGCTGCCAGCCTCCCAGCCCCTTTGTGATAGACACAAGACCCGGGGGTTAGGAAGAAGTCTAAGACATGACTTCTGCTCTATGGCACTTACCTTAGACTCCCCACAATGGGGAAGACTTTCTCTTCTCTCCTTCCCAACTGGGAACAGTGTGGAATTGCTGAAAGAGGCTCTCTTGGTAGGAGGGAGGGTGGACTGTGGGCTGATGTAGGCATGAAGCCCAGCCATGGGGTTCCTACTTAGGTGTCACGATTCATTGACCTAGGGTAACTGCCTCACACAAAAGTTTCCACGGCTAGGGAGGAATATGGGGAGAGGAACAAAGTCTATTCGGCAGAGCCTTAGTAAACGGAAATGTCCATTAGGAGAACAGGGGGTTGCCCAGAGGCTGCATTTGTTTAAATCTACTTGATTTGACTTCTTCTTTAGTTTGGATTGCCTTGGTAAGCAGGTGATGGCTTACATTAGAGAAGAATTGGGGCTGCCCCCAGCCACCCATGCTTTCAGGTGTTAGGAG